ACTTCTCCAAGGCCTTCGACACGATTAACCACGATATTTTACTATATAAACTTTCACATTATGGTGTACGTGGGATGACCTTGGAGAATGTATTTTTAAATGACAACTCTTCAGCTCTTCGTATTATAGATTATGGCGTTCCGCAAGGTAGCATTCTTGGCCCACTCTTAATTATCTTATGCATTCAAGACTTTTGTCGATCATGTGATATTTTGTCTTTCGTACTTTTTGCTGATGATACAATTGTCTTTTTTCACAATGACTTACATAGATTAGTTGAAATAATTAATGTTGAGTGTAATATTTTGTTGTGGATTAGAGCGAACCAAATGAATCAACCAGCAAATGAAAGGTATGCTGTTTCGTAAATCTATAGATTCGTTGCTATCTAACACAGTTTCGGAAAATATCCCATTTTAGCAACGGTGTCGATTTGTATCCGTGGTTGGGGGGGGGGGATGATAGATGCCAAAATATTTTCGGCAATGGATCAAAGCAACCAAGAGGTAGAAGCGTGTGGCAGGTTGCACCCCCTCCCCAAGCGCGTAGCCAGGATTTCATTTTTTTTTTTTTTTTTTTTTTTTTTGGGGGGGGGGGGCGGTAGTGAGCACGCAAAGCGTGCGAATCACTTACAGAGCGCGCGAAGCGCACTCCCTAGGGGAATGGGTGCAGGGAGGGAGGAGTTTCCCCCCTCCCCGCGAAGCGCGGAAGCTCTGACGTTTTATTAGATTATTAAAGAAAGAAGACGATTCGATGTACCATTCTCGACTCTCTATCCTTGTCTGAATTCAGTTCCCCTCCCGCGCGAAGCAGGGAAGCTTTGACGTTTTAAATAATTATTACTCTTAATCCTTGTCAGAATTCCTTTTCGCCCAGCTTTCACGTTTCATTAAATTATTAGAGAAAGAAGACGATTCGTTGTATCGTGTCCTTGTCTGAATTCAGTTTTCCCGCGCGGAAGCTTTGCATTTCAATAAATTATTACGCTTAATCCATGTCTGAATTCATTTTCGCCCATCTCGCGCGAAGCGCGGAAGCTTTGACGTTTCATTAAATTATTAGAGAAAGAAGACGATTCGTTGTATCATGTCCTTGTCTGAGTCCATTCCCCCCCCCCCCACCCTCCCGCGCGAAGCGCGAAAGCTTTGACGTTTCATTTAATTATTACTCTTAATCCTTGTCTATATTCATTTACGCCCATCCCTGCGCGAAGCGCGGAAGCTTTCGCATTTCATTGCATTATTAGAGAAGGAAGACGATTCCGTTTATCGTGTCCTTGTCTGAATGCAGTTTTCCCCCTACCGCGCGAAGCGCGGAAGCTTTGACGGTTCAATAAATCATTACTCTTAATCCTTGTCTATATTCATTCTCGCCCATCCCGCGCGAAGCTTTACCGTGTCATTAAATTACCATTACCATTTTCGACTCTTAATCCTTGTCTGAATTCAGTTCACTTCCCCCCCCCCCCTTCCCGCGCGAAGCGCGGAAGCTTTGACGTTTCATTACATTATTAGAGAAAGATGACGATTCGTTGTACCGTTCTCGACTCTTAATCTTTTTTCTTCCTACGTCCTCTTCCTTTCTTCTTTCTCTCTCTCTCTCTCTCTCTCTCTCTCTCTTTTGGGGAGGGGGGGGGGGGACCGCCCCCATTGCCCCTCTGGCTACGTGCCTGTATCCTCTCTGTCTTTCTCTCCCACTCTCTACTTTTTGCACTTTTTCGCTTCGCGCTTAACATTTAGCTCGTTGCTTTTTAACGCTGCGGCTTAGCATTTGGCACACTACTTTTCTATGATGCTGTTGATTGATTAAATTGAATAAATTCATCAATTCCTGAAGAAGCCGTATGAGCGACGATTAAATATATTCTTGTCTCGTATACGGTTGTCTCATTTACGTATGTATTATGAAAATGGGATAGCAACATGTGTATATTGGTGGTCATCTTGCAAGTAATAACCATTAACTACTCCCATCTGGCTCTCATTAATTTTTCTCCTCATTTTTAATTTTTTGTTATGGTGAATTATTGGGGGGATGATTGTACAGGCCATCCCCCCCCCCCCACCTGAAATATTGGGGGGGATATATCCCTCCCATCCCCCCCCCCCGGGATCGACACCCATGCTAAAGGGCAAAATAAATCCTCGTTATAATATGATTATGGTATAATATAACTTTTCTTTCTCTCCTCTTTGTATATATTTCATTATATCTTCTTCTTGTTTTCTCTTGTTTGTTTGTTGCTGTTGTTTTTTTGTTTTGCTTTTTACTGTTAGCTTCAATTTGGATGTATGGCATTTACATATTTGTATCATGTACATAATACTCATATCGTTATTCTCGATGTTCAAATCCGTTTATTTATAACCTGGTGTGCAATTTTTGTTTGTCGTTTAAGTCGTATATTGTAATTTTCTATATTTATTTATATTTGTTATTTGTTGAAATGCATATAATTGTTTGTGTTATAAAGGGCCCCAAGGAAAACAAGTATTTTTTTGCTGAGTGGGCTACCCTTCTATTTAAAGATGTGTAATAAATAAATAAAAAATAAAAAATATATGAAGGTCCCAAATTATGGAACTCTTTAAGTAATGAAATAGATAATGCTCCATCTATTAATAATTTTAAGAAAACAAAATGTAAATTGTTTTTATTACAATCTTAAGGACCTCATTAAATTATATCGCCCATTTTTCTTTTCCCGTCCTCATTTCTGTCTTTCTTTCTTTCTTTTTAAACTTGCTGTTCTATCTTTTTTCTGTTTCGAAACAAGGTCATTTTCTACTCGCTGACTCAAAATGTAATTCGATATATTGCATTGTGCCCTGTCATGCATATCTCCTTTCCAATGCGCATTTCTCCTTCCTCATCTTCTTCTCAACCCCTCATGCAGCTCATCCTTCTGTAATATTTTCTATAGCCCCCAATCTCTCACTTCTTTTTGGGCTTTGTCTATGTTTTGTATTATAACCGTGTTCTCCTATCTTTGTCATGTAAAGTACTATCTTGTCCCGTTCTCGTCTTTTTTGGCACCCCCTTTCCCCCCGCCTATTGCTAGTTTCGTTTGGTAGTTAGGAATTTGTTAATTTTATTACTCATTATTCCCAACTATCATTTGAGGGGTCCACGATTATTGTACAAGCATTGTATTTTAGTGTACCCCTCTGTTTTCAATATGTATTCCTTAATTATTGTAAATGATTATAAATTATTTTTAATGTTTTGTTGGAAACAGAATGTAAATTGAATTGAAGTGAAGTAAAATCAAATACATGTAATGAAATAAGATATTTAACTTTATTTCTCACAGTTCTCCCACATTTAATTTGCTTCTGTTATATATTAATCAACTATTTGTGACATTTAACACTACCAATTAAATATTAGGTTAGATACATTTTATAGTAATTCAAATTACGTTTATGATATCGGAGAAACCTATTCTGATTATCTTCGTGTTGCGTTGAATTTCACAGACGAAATTGTATGACATTCCTTTTGTCCACCATTCGCTGATACCGAAATAACCTATGTATATTGTAGATTCATATTTCCAAACAATGTCGGCATAAACTGTTAAGATTTGAATGCAATGTCGCCCGCCTAAGATCCAACTCTTAATTAAGGACATACCTGCATGTTTATGAAGGACAAACCGCTTCTGACTGCAGACAATATAAATAATATACAAAAATAAATGTACAAGAAAATAACCTTTCGATACTGTTGTAATCACTGTAAGTAGTATTTGCAACCATGGTATTAGCGGGGTACGACGTGCCTATGGTTTAAAAATACAGCATTGCAAAAATAACTCACTGCCCCCCCCCCCTTTTCCTGTGTATAAACACCACTTGTACTGCAGAGGGGGGGGGGGGGGAGATCTGCTATCGCGAGTGAGGAAACGGGAGAAAGCGTGACACGTTAGGGACTTTTAGATTTCAACGACGACAACGTGGACTGCTACGTGTGACGTCCGTGTAAGGCACTGTTAGTGCCTTAAAAGGAAGTCACACGTAGCAGTCCACGCAAATCTTAAAGTCCCTTATATAAAGGAAAGGGCGGAGAGAATGGACTGAGGGCAAGCGAGTTTAAGGAAGATTCCCATTAACTAAAGGCTTACGAGACCAAAATGTTTGTTTCTTTATAAAAGGATTCAAGCCAGGGGAGCACGAAACATAACTGCCACTTTTCATTTTGAATATGTCTCTTTGACATTCAGTCTCTTGGCAATAATCATGTCTTTACCAATCTGACCCTAGATAATTGTCTCGTGGCACTCTCAGTTGTGTTAGCAAACAGGAGAGTAGAGTAATTGCAGTATCTGGTATTTCTGTCTAGTATGTCTAATGTTGACTCCGTGAGCTTTAGGCGCTATGGTAAAAAGTAATGCGGTTATTATTTTTTTTCGTAAAGATGCCTCTTCGATGTTTTTCTATGTTGAACTATGCATTGGTTACACTTTTTGGAGGAAAAACAGGTACAAATTAATCACTTATATTCTCGTTTTGATGAATAACTGTTTGACGTAAGCTATAAGGGGAATGAGCAAAATCAAGGATAAATGCTATGATATGCAACAAGGCGTTGTAAACATTGATAATCCCGCATTGTATCCATATCAACAAAGACATCGATATATTACACATTATTGTATGGAACATTATCTGTTGCACGTTTGATATAGGCTATCTGAAAGATAATTCTTAGTCCAATGAATGGGGAATGAAAGCCAACAAGTGACCATAATCCTCCAAACAGCAAGTGTTTCGCAATAACTTTTCTTTTTAGGGAGAGGAACAGGAAACGAAGGAGGCTCCAAGGATCACTCAATATCTTTGATTGATGGCCGGGATTCGATGTGAGAGGCTCTTATATGTCAACTGATGAGCTTGGCGCCTCTTTAAAGGAGAGTGTGACTTCATGAAAAAAATCAAAACAAAAACATAACAGAATAATAACACTCGTTGATTTTGTTTGTTTTTATATCCATACAGATACATTCTCACTATGTTGCTCATCACCAACAAAGAGTACAACGTGTACAAACCTTCGCTTAAAAAATATACTGGATGACGTCATTGAAGTTTTCAGAGAAGTCGAATCGGTGTTGCTCTTGATTCGTCGGCACTTCACTTTGACTGACAGATGTTCGATTGACCTTTATTATCTAACGCAGCGACTGACCTATAAAGGAATATGAGCGTAACTGAATATGGCAGTACCACGTCGATGCCTCCTTTCTACGCCACCGGACCAACATACTCCCCTGATTCCCGGCAGTCGGTGGCTGGTGTCACGGCGATCGCCATTACCGCTGTTCTCTCCATTCTGTGCAATGTCTTGAACCTCATCCTCTTGCCCCATCTACCAGAGCTTAATGAAGTAAATCGGGTGTTCTACATGTCTTTGGCACTCATTGATCTTGCCACAGGTATCATACTGCTTCCAATGAGTGTTGCCGCAGTTGGAGGAGAGTGGCCGTTCGGTAGTCCACTCTGTAAATCGTTGGGTTATTTACTGACAGTGAGCACTGGACTCTCGTCATCAACTGTGTTTTATTTGAATGGTGATCGCTTCATCGCGGTAACGAAGCCGTTACGATATCCGTCCCTCGTCAATCGGAAGCGTGCGATCACCATTATGGTATCGCAAACCATAGGAACGTTTATCATATTGTTCTTTGTTCTGTATTTCGCCGGCGATCGGTTCAACATCATCGTTTATCGTGAGTTCGGCATCTGCCTAGTGGACTTTTCCGAGCCTTACTTCGCACCTTACGCAATCTTCAGTTTTGCTATTTCTATGTGGATGTACGCCCTCTTGCTCCTTGTTTTTTACACGGTGATGCTACAGATAGTTCGGCGTCATGCTCGAACTATCGCTAACCAAGCAGCAATGGCAACGGTAATTGCTTCTAACACGCGATCTGAATCGGAAGTGCGCACCGCAGAAGACTTTCAACACGATATCGAGCGCGCGGAGAAACTCGCCCGTAATATGCGTCATCGCGGGCTACTGAAATCAGTGCTGCTAACGGTATCGATCGCTGGTGCTTTCTATATCGCTTGGTTGCCGTTTACGATTTGTGAAGTGGTGGCGGCAGTGCGCGGTAGAAGGATACATTTAAACATCATGGAGGTCGCGTCTAGATTAACGTTGTGCAATGGTTGGATGAATACTGTGATTTATTTACTTCTTAAACAAAGTTATCGAAATGCCTTGGTTGACTTTGTTCGTCGGACACGGCCTAGATTGTGGGATTAAACCTTGAAAAGCCGAAGTTTCATAATCGTCTTTATCAAGCTTGAAATCCACGATTTGTTTTATTTATGATAACAAGTTTGAGTAAAGTAATTACGTAAATATAACCATAGCTAATATCTACATCATGTTTATCACAGCATTTGATCATATCACTGATTAATTTATGTTTCTAAAATGCAAAATTTTGGTGCAATATTTGAGCCTTTTATTTATGTGTCACTGAGCAAAACAGTTTTCACATTTGATTATAGCTGGACCAACAGAAATATGATTGAATTGGAAACGAAATTTAGCTCGCAGATAACTGATGACCCTTCTCTGACATGAAAAGGCATTTACGATAAACTAATTGAGTGGTAACAAGCTGTTCATAATAATCTATATAACTTTAGCTGGGCTAAAACTTGTCTAGTTGATGTCCGTTTATACTTTTTTTCTTCTTCAATCATCAATCGCTGAAGGGCGCTCGGAGTCGGGGCTTTTAGGGCATTTCCCTAGTGGTTTATTCGAAACATCGAATGGCTTACATCTCAATCCCGTCATTTTAAAGCCCCTCTAAGTGTTGGGAGCCCAAGATTCGCCAAACAATTTGATGGCAAAATGTCACTTGAATTGTATCAAAATGTGAAAGAGGATGTAATTGAAGACCCACGTGTGCAAAGATTTCCCCAAAAGAAATTTGAAGACAACTATTTTCTTTCATCAATATTTGACTTCAAACACTTTTGTTTTGAAAAACCTTGCAGAAATGTTTCTTAAATGACATCCTCTTTCACATTATGATACAATTTAAGTGAAATGTTGCCATTAAATTGTTGGGGCTCCCAACACTTTAGAGGGGCTTTAACGTGACCAGGGGCGGCGATCCCCGGGAACGGGGGAGACACGCCCCCTCCTCAATTTCACGGTTTATTAAAGATACTATGTCCCTTTTGCAGCCAACATCAAATTCTGTAGAAATTTGCAGGAATTATAAATATGTCATGTATGTCGTATCTGTGAAATTTAAACGTTAGAAATGTCATAATATTCAAATTATGCAAGGAAACCCGTTTATTTGCTAGAGTTCACTGTCACACACTATTGAGTGACTGGCTTTTTTTTTTTTTCTTCTTTGGTAATAACATCCATAAAATGAGCTGTAAAGGGTACTTGAGCATTTTGTCTACATCAATAACCCACTTCTTGTAATGGCCAAAATTAATCTGATTGAATCTTTGCGCAGCATAAAACGTACGACCATTCGGTACAATGGTCTGAAAATCAGACTATTACTTACTGGCTCTATAGCTCTAAAGTCGATTCGACAACTAATAGTAGTTATTTTCCCACTTAGGGACATTTTCAAGCCTCCTTTTTTGTAGGGAAGTTCTAAATTAGTATTATCTTTCAAATGTCGTTGGAATTTAACCTTTTATTTTTTGAACTGCAAATGGGACATAGTACCTTTAAACCAAACTTTTATGCATGAATAAACAGGCATGAATTGCATTTGTTATTGTAGCATTGTAACTTTACCTCGTAGACTCAGTGGTGTGTGCATGGGAGTCAGGATGGGGTGATGGTTTAATTTTAGATTTCAGGACCTACCATTGAGATAAAAGTAACATCTGATACATAAGCCTAATGTATGTAAGCAGAGGAGGCGTAATTTTCAAAGTTATCAAGCTACGAAGACAAAATATTTGCACGCGCCAGTAATTCTACCATGCATTTAAACTGTCTGTTTGCTTTGCATTCACTTTATGTACGATCACACACATCGTGATCTACGTCACTAAATAACCGCTCCTCTGCATCCGCGTTATTAAGACATGCTTTTTCCATTGGTGCTTTTCTCAATATAATAAACATTTGAATATTTTTCCCCTTTTTGACTTGTCATCTCTCTCTGTTTCATCCTCTCTCCCTGTATTATATTTTGTCTCCCTCCTTTGCTGACATGTTTATTCGCGTCCTATATCCCGTGCTTTCCTTCTCTGTCTTCTTTTGGTTTCGGCATATGTTATGGGGATAGGATGCTCATGTTTTTGACACGTAAACAAACTTCAAGGGCAAATAAAATCATTATTTGATAAAGCCCTAAGGGTGGAAATGTGTAAAACAATTTATTCGTGTATACAGAGGATTATTTGTTTTGTGTGTATATGTGTCTGTGTGCGTGTGCGCGTGTGTGTGTATTTCCTCGAACTCTGAGCAGAACCTAATCCTATATAGCCTACATACAATTATTCACATACAAACATACATATATTTAGCTTAAGGCGTCATTAGACGGACAAATGTAGCAAATAAATAGTCATTAAGTATACATGGGGTGGTATTCTCAAAAGCAGACTAACTTTAGTCCATGGTTTGATCCTCCGACTAAGTATGGAATGCAAAGTGTACATATGAATATATTTATATCCCTAAATTACCATGATAACATCATTATTTCACAGTTATATTATTGTTTATTAATTATGTTATTACATTTTATTTTAATGTAGTGACAAATTAAATTATTCAAAAACATATTCATATGGACACTTGGTTAACATACCAGTCTTTACGATGTCTGGTTAATGTACCATGTAGAAATGCCGTCCTTAATATCATTCCGGGGGGTTTTCAATTTGAAAGTCTGGTTTCTTTGATTGTCAATTAACTCCTATCCTGTGTATTTACAAGCAAAAGATTTCAGTTATCAGAATGGGGTCATATCCCCCTTTGAATGGTTTGACATGCCATTACATTTATAAACACTAAACTCATTATAATTTGACAAATAGAAGCTTTGCAAGTATGTTCATTCTTTATGGGATGTCGTCTGCTTGGGCAGTATTGGTCCATATAGTGACGTCATTAAAACATCGTTATTTTCCCGGCGAATCTCTCGTATATCCCAGCTGCTATGGAGGGGGTTGAATTTGTATTTGTATAAGTCACCCGATATGTAGTTGACCTAAAACTTGTACGATGGCCATCTGTTAGCTTACCAGTTTCTAGTGATATATTAGTTGACATATTAGAGCGACACGTCCCCATATACCATATTAGGTAAATCACCTCTCGTATAACCAGGATAACAAAAATATACTTATGATTTTCTTTTTGTAATATGCCTTAAAGTACCCGCTCACTACACGACCTTCCTGCGATCCAGTTTTCGTAAAATTAAAATAACAAAGCTAGGGTTTCCTGCCCAGTTTCATATTTTCGTCACTGAAATCATTTAAGGTGCATTCAAAATCACGCACAATAGTCGAACGATCTATATCGGTCCTCTAAATGCAAAATCCGGGCAGTGGAGTTCATTTTAATAGAGACACGCGATTCCATTTATGAGTATCCATATCAATGTATCGGCAAAGTTATTAGGCATTCCGTTTCTTGTTATCCGCAATCTATACATCTTAGGAAAAAAAAAACGTACGTACGTTTCTTGAATATTTATATCTCCACAACTTTACCAAAGTCACGTAAAGAATAGTGTCCACAACTTACACGGGAAAGTATCCATATTTACAGACAAGATTTGCTTTCAGTCGTTTTAAATTATTTCATACGGACATTACCCTCACAACAAACACACGCGCAAGTACACCTTTATACTAGGACTTTCCATTTATAAGTATATCTTAGGCTGATGATTTATAGCACCGCCTGAAACTGCCCGTTGATGAGGCTCTTCTAATGTATAAGACGACTCCCATTATGTCCTCAATAATTTATTATGATAATATTCTGCATCAAGAATCATAACAGAGCAAATACATGATACCATTCAAATGAATATATACCTTAAGTATCAAAGAATGTGGATTTCTTAGATTGCAATTTTCATGAGATACCCCTTTTATGGATTTTCGAAAAGAAAAATAATGTAAATCAACTTCACACAACACACCACACTTGCAACTCACTCAAAACAACGCCGTGAAGCTTTCTCTCTAAATTTCTCTTCATTTCTCTTGATAATAGTAGTGGCCACCGAAGATGGCGCTCTTCTGATAATCTGAAAGGCTCTATCAAGATTTGGCATAACAGCATTTTCAGATTTTTAACAAACATTCGAGATACCCCTCGAATATAACTCTCGGGGAAGGAGAAGTTAAACCAATACTATTTTTAATTATTATTTAGACAATCCTGTCACTATTTTTCAGAAAACTAAAATTGAAAACAGATAAATCTTCAATTTTGTTATCTTATTATTATTTTCGGCAAAATCGGATAGAATCGTAGTGACGTCAAGACAGTAGTGCGATTGTTTATGATTGCGATTTGAAGCCGACTAAGCTTTTATTCTGACTTGAAGAGTTCAATGTACTAAAATTCTGGTTATTAATATCCTTGTCATTATTCAGAAGCTGAATCAGGAGGAAGATGTTTGTATAGTGGGCGGTGGGCTGTAAACATATAGAGATCAAATAATGGTTTACAGGGGAGTACGGTAAAACATCCATACATTAGAAAGTTATGCCCTTTCATAGCCATAAACCATCAATCATTTCATTACCAATTGAACTATCTTTCAATATGTTTTGTCTGTGGCCCCCGGTCGTTCCGTTACTTTTATGGCGTTCTCAAAGGCGACATAATCTAGATACGTACATCACGTACTTCAATTTAACAGCGTCATCTATAATTAGATTTTTGCCAACGCGGTTCTAGGTTGACACACAAAACATGGCGAATGTTCGTTGGAAAACTACAAAAGAAAAAAAATGTGCGCCATCATGACCCGTTTTCTATCAAATTGAAGATTTAAATCCTACGCTTGGCCTGGGATTAAGCTAGTGTTAAAAATCCAGGTTTAACGAAGGAGGTTAGTTTGAGAGAAGGTTCCTTGATTTTAAAAAACTAACTTTAATGTCATTATTGGAATGGTGAATCTTTAATTAGACAAGGTTATCAAAATTCAATGCTTGGAAAGTTTCGAAGTAATGATTATTATCAATTACAAAACGCTTAAATACAGCCCCGGCATAGCACCTGAAGAGCTTTCCGACGCTGCTGAGATGTGTGACGTGACTAACGTCACATGTTAAACATGATTTGCACAAGCACATTCCAGTGCCTGTTTTATCATCTTCTCTTCAGTTATTTATTTTACTTCATTACCGTCAGGCTAAATGTTTAATATTATTGTCTCACCAAATCCCGCGCATGCTATTATTTTGATAGAAAATGCACCGATAAAAAATAATAAGGAATCCGTCGCTCGTAAACAAAATAAGACGTCATTTTAATTTAAGCTGTATACACCGCTGTATGTTGGGCGTTTCAAGAGGGAACAATTGCCGTCTTTGCTATTATTCCGGGGGGGGGGAGGGTTCAATTTAAAAGTGTGGTTTCTTTGATTGTTCATTAACCCCTATTCTGTGTATTTACAAACAAAAGAATTTAGGTATCAGAATCGGTTTCATATCCCTTTTTGAATGGTGTAAAATGCTACTACATTTATATACACTAAACTCTTTATAATTTGAGAAATTATAGCATTGCAGATGTTCATTCTTTATGGGATGTCGTCTGCTTGGGCAAGATTGGTTTATAATGTGACATCGTCATTTTTCTGGCGAATCTCTCGTGTGTCGTAGATGCTATGGAGGTGGTTTTATTTGTATTTTTATAAATCACCCGATATGTAGTTGACCTACAACTTATACGATGGCCATCTGTTAGCTTACCAGTATCTAGGGATACGTTATTTGCATATTTGTGATTTTCTTTGAACT